TCCTGTGTCCTAATTCTTTTATTGCTTGATTTATAAGTTGCTCAGAACTTTAACCAATTGGCCCCTGCTATGCTCTTTGTAAAACTGGCTTCACTGAGCCACATATGAGTGATTCGGAAGAGCCAACATTTTTCAAAAGTCCAGACGCTGCAGGCAAGTCAGGTTTCTGTGTTAAATTGGAAGGAATTTGGTGAGCGACATATGAAATCAAGTGTAAAATCTTTTCAATGTTATTGGAGAGAGAACCTGGACTACAAGCACAGTTTCAGCCCTGTGTTTTCAGTCATGGATGGACACCAGCTCAATTCGGCCCCCCAATCCTATGGAAGGAAGACTATTGGACTATTAAGACTCATGGCAGGCCATCCGGCTCTATAGCACTTGACTCTTTATTCTCACTTTCCTTCTATAACTGTGCCAGCAGAACACAATCTTATTAAATTGCAAAGTGATCTATGTGTCTTTCTTTACACACACACACACACATATATATGTATATATATATATACACTCACCGGCCACTTTATTAGGTACACCTGTCCAACTGCTCGTTAACACTTAATTTCTAAGCAGCCAATCACATGGCGGCAACTCAGTGCATTTAGGCATGTAGACATGGTCAAGACAATCTCCTGCAGTTCAAACCGAGCATCAGTATGGGGAAGAAAGTTGATTTGAGTGACTTTGAACGTGGCATGATTGTTGGTGCCAGAAGGGCTGGTCTGAGTATTTCAGAAACTGCTAATTTACTGGGATTTTCACGCACAACCATCTCTAGGGTTTACAGAGAATGGTCCGAAAAAGAAAAAACATCCAGTGAGCGGCAGTTCTGTGGGCGGAAATGCCTTGTTGATGCCAGAGGTCAGAGGAGAATGGCCAGACTGGTTCGAGCTGATAGAAGGGCAACAGTGACTGAAATAACCACTCGTTACAACCGAGGTATGCAGCAAAGCATTTGTGAAGCCACAACACGCACAACCTTGAGGCGGATGGGCTACAACAGCAGAAGACTCCACCGGGTACCACTCATCTCCACTACAAATAGGAAAAAGAGGCTACAATTTGCAAGAGCTCACCAAAATTGAACAGTTGAAGACTGGAAAAATGTTGCCTGGTCTGATGAGTCTCGATTTCTGTTGAGACATTCAGATGTTAGAGTCAGAATTTGGCGTAAACAGAATGAGAACATGGAAGCATCATGCCTTGTTACCACTGTGCAGGCTGGTGGTGGTGGTGTAATGGTGTGGGGGATGTTTTCCTGGCACACTTTAGGCCCCTTAGTGCCAATTGGGCATCGTTTAAATGCCACGGCCTACCTGAGCATTGTTTCTGACCATGTCCATCCCTTTATGGCCACCATGTACCCATCCTCTGATGGCTACTTCCACCATGTCACAAAGCTCTAATCATTTCAAATTGGTTTCTTGAACATGACAATGAGTTCACTGTACTAAAATGGCCTCCACAGTCACCAGATCTCAACCCAATAGAGCATCTTTGGGATGTGGTGGAACGGGAGATTCGCATCATGGATGTGCAGCCGACAAATCTGCGGCAACTGTGTGATGCCATCATGTCAATATGGACCAAACTCCCTGAGGAATGCTTCCAGCACCTTGTTGAATCTATGCCACGAAGAATTGAGGCAGTTCTGAAGGCAAAAGGGGGTCCAACCCGTTACTAGCATGGGGTACCTAATAAAGTGGCCGGTGAGTGTATATATTAGGGCTGTCAAATGATTAATCGTGATTAATCACATCCAAAATAAAAGTTTTTTTTACATAATATATGTGGGTGCACTGTGTATAATTATTTTATACACTCACCGGCCACTTTATTAGGTACACCTGTCCAACTGCTCGTTAACACTTAATTTCTAAGCAGCCAATCACATGGCGGCAACTCAGTGCATTTAGGTATGTAGACATGGTCAAGACAATCTCCTGCAGTTCAAACCGAGAATCAGTATGGGGAAGAAAGTTGATTTGAGTGACTTTGAACGTGGCATGATTGTTGGTGCCAGAAGGGCTGGTCTGAGTATTTCAGAAACTGCTAATCTACTGGGATTTTCACGCACAACCATCTCTAGGGTTTACAGAGAATGGTCCGAAAAAGAAAAAACATCCAGTGAGCGGCAGTTCTGTGGGCGGAAATGCCTTGTTGATGCCAGAGGTCAGAGGAGAATGGCCAGACTGGTTCGAGCTGATAGAAGGGCAACAGTGACTGAAATAACCACTCGTTACAACCGAGGTATGCAGCAAAGCATTTGTGAAGCCACAACACGCACAACCTTGAGGCGGATGGGCTACAACATCAGAAGACTCCACCGGGTACCACTCATCTCCACTACAAATAGGAAAAAGAGGCTACAATTTGCAAGAGCTCACCAAAATTGAACAGTTGAAGACTGGAAAAATGTTGCCTGGTCTGATGAGTCTCGATTTCTGTTGAGACATTCAGATGTTAGAGTCAGAATTTGGCGTAAACAGAATGAGAACATGGAACCATCATGCCTTGTTACCACTGTGCAGGCTGGTGGTGGTGGTGTAATGGTGTGGGGGATGTTTTCCTGGCACACTTTAGGCCCCTTAGTGCCAATTGGGCATCGTTTAAATGCCATGGCCTACCTGAGCATTGTTTCTGACCATGTCCATCCCTTTATGGCCACCATGTACCCATCCTCTGATGGCTTCTTCCACCATGTCACAAAGCTCTAATCATTTCAAATTGGTTTCTTGAACATGACAATGAGTTCACTGTACTAAAATGGCCTCCACAGTCACCAGATCTCAACCCAATAGAGCATCTTTGGGATGTGGTGGAACGGGAGATTCGCATCATGGATGTGCAGCCGACAAATCTGCGGCAACTGTGTGATGCCATCATGTCAATATGGACCAAACTCCCTGAGGAATGCTTCCAGCACCTTGTTGAATCTATGCCACGAAGAATTGAGGCAGTTCTGAAGGCAAAAGGGGGTCCAACCCGTTACTAGCATGGGGTACCTAATAAAGTGGCCGGTGAGTGTATATATAAATACACACACATGCTTGTATATATTTAAGAAATATTTTCATGTATATACTGTATATAGATTTATATATAATTTATATTATATATAAATATAAATATTTTATATATAAATAAATTTTTTTTCTTAAATATACATGCATGTGTGTGTATTTATATATATACAAAATAATTATACACAGTGCACCCACATATATTATGTAAAAAAAAACTTTTATTTTGGATGTGATTAATCACGATTAATCATTTGACAGCCCTAATATATATATATATATAGTCATGCTTATATATATATAATTCTTTTTTTCATTGGTTTTATGCTAGACATTTAATGCGACCTCATAAAAGCATGCATGTCTCTCTACAGAAAGTGACATTTGCAATACGAGGAATAAGGGGAGAAGGTGTGAATGGCATGGCCTCATTGTTGATAGATTGCCTGGAGACCCAATTAAAGATGCTAACAACTAGGATAAACAATATTCCTTTTTCCACTTGAGATCTCAAAACCATTCCAATACTACAACAACAACAACAACAACAACAGAACACCTTTCAGTCCACACAGATATGCAAAACTGCTTCCTCGATTGGATGTTTGTGTCACTCTATTATTTAATCTCATTTAATCTGTCAGTATTTTATATGCACAAAAAAAGTCCATCTCACATCTTTTGTCAAGTCAAAATGACCTTCCAGATAACACTATATTACAGATCAAAAATAGCGATGAGGCAAAATAAAGCTATAGATGTGCAAACACTGTTGTGTGGTAGAAGAACAGTGTTGATTGGCAGAGAGTTTGTTCTCCGTTTTGCGTGGAACAAACTAGAGATAAGATAAGAACTAGACAGATGAAAGCTGAAATTTTAAAACAATCAATTTCATAATATATTAGCTCAGTATTGTTCATATATGACTAAAGGTGTTGTGCACATGCGGTTGTTTGCCACAGATGTAAAAATTTTAATAAGAAAGAAAAATGTAAGTATTTATTAAGACAAATTAACATCACTCAACATGCTTTTGTTTGCTATGATTTATTTATGATTTGTTTTTGTTTTTTAAAATAAGATTACAATTTACGCTGCTATTCGTTTGAATAATTTAACGAATTCATAATCTTTAATAAAGGTTTTAGCACTTTTCCTCACTTTACTTACGTATTTTTAAGTGTTATTAAGTGTTTTAATATTTAGAGGTATTAATCATTGACATATATAATATAATATAATATAATATAATATAGTATAATATAATCAAATATTCATATCCAAAATCCTTGTCGGGACATTTGTGGGCCCCATGTGGACAACAACTCATAAATCATACTACACTTTTTTTTCTTTTTTTTTTGGGGGTGAAAATGTAAAAATCAGAAAGTTGTCTGTAATGGGTAGGTTTAGGGTTAGAATATACAGTTTGTACAGTATAAACATTACTATCACTACTGTATGTCAATAGCACCCAAAGTACCCATAAAACGTACGCACGTGTGTGTGTGTGTGTGTTAGGCGACAGTCTATACACTGTATTTGTGCAGTCTTTGTGGATCCAGCAGAAGTACACAAGTTAAGTGTTACAAACATCCTAGTCAATAGATTTTTTTAACATGTAGATGATTGTGTGGAAGTTACAAATTGGTAATCTCATTCCAAATTGGTAGGGTGTTACAACTCACCTTGTGTTACAACACTCCCTGCTGTCCCCTAATAAACAACATGCCCCGTAATGTATCAGGGGGACTGCTTGTAATTACATGTTATCGTGATTACAGGAGCCTAATTATTACCGGACAGGACAGTAACATGAACGCGAGTGTCTAAAGTGTAAGCAAAACTCAGACAGCTGCGCACCAGAAAGTTATCAGTGTGATCAATCAGTCTGATCAATCAGCGTGATCAATTGCGCATTCACGCTGGTCTGTGTACTATCGTTAGGCGTCTCCATGTGTCAATCTAGAGTGGGCGGGACCCGCGTCTGCTGCGGCGCTCTGGAGAGGCAGAGACTCAGGCAGGGGCTGAAGTGCCACTTTCTCAGCATTTTCAGTGCGGGCAGCATCTTCTCCCAGCCCCGGGTACAGTAACTGCTGCACGCAACCTATCCTCCGGATCGGGACAGGAGATTCAGGTTTGCGCCATCCATGCGACTGAGAGCGCACCATCCACCTGGATAAGCAGCATCAGCATCAGTGCAGGGAGAACACGGACGCAAGCATCGCCACAAGAATATGATGCTCCAACAGCACTTGCTTTTCGTGCTCTACAGCTTCTGTGGGATTGTCATTAAAGGTAAGAACCCTGGGATGTGTGTGGCCACAGTAGTGTGATGCCTTCTGGGTGTGGTGGGAGTTGGCTGGGAGAACAGAAATGCCAGTGTGATTTAAGCACACATTATCTCAAGACCTCAATTGCACCAGGGTTAATGTTTCAGAAGTAGCCCGTGCGTTTGGACAAGTCAGACACACTACGTGTGTTTTGTGGCATGATGATGACAGTGCAGATTTGAGTTCAGTGCACATTCTTTCACACGCGGGATCAGGTGCGTGGGAAGTTGTTTGTAGTTAATTAAATGATGTTTGTGTTCCATCATCCATGAGCAACTTTAGACACGGAATGATTCGGTGGACATGTGCCCGCGCTCCAAATTGATTAATATGGTTCGCATACGCAACAATTTATTGCTCACTGATCAGTGTGTGATTTGATGCGTCTTGTTGTTTGTGTTTATCCATTTTTGAACTTTGTCAACACTAATTCAATAACGACCTCCTTGTTCTAAATCGATTTATATGCTTCATTTTGATATCTGCAATGTAATCGCAGTTACGCGTAGGCTTGCTCAATGTTCAGGGTGTGATTTGATGTGCAGAACAAGTTGAACTTAATGTATGCTTAATGCAAGCCCTACAGTGTGTGTGTTTTTTTTTTTTTTACTATTAGTTGGCCAGCACTGGTTTAAGTTGGACATACGCGCGTTTAAAACGCATCTCACTCGGGTATTTGCAAGATTCTACATCTTGGGGTCGTCGTAGCATAAGATTTTCTTTCCGAGTCGCGCACTGTGCAAGTACAGACTGAAGATATGGCTTGTGCATTTATTTACAGTAGCGATAACTGTTGTTATATAGCAAGAATACATAGTGTGTGTGTATATATACAGCTACCAGGAACATTTCAGAACGGACAGATGTTCATGGATCTCTGGCGGCCAGAATGCAGCGGGCAGGCGCGCACTGCTGTCCCACTTTGACTCTCTGAATCCCGCTGGCGGATCGCAGATCGCGCGCAGCCGCGCCCCACGGGTCACACAATCTCACAGTTCTGTCAACACTTACACACCATCGAGTTTTCTTTTTCTATAAGTTCCGCAAAAGGATGCATGAATAAATAATGGAAATAACCATTGACTAGGTTACATCTGCCACTGCAAGAACATGACTCACAGCTGCTGGACCTTTATCGACTCAGAGAGAGTCCATGATATATGTCTGCCTAGAGAGTCAATATTAGGCTAGGTTACACTATTAATATCGATTATTAATACAGTAGATATGTCTCAGTATTGTACACCATGCACTGGCGGAGTGTTGTAACAGATTTTGTTTTACATATGTGTGTCACAGTGTGTGTGTTGCACTATATGTTTAAAAATTTGATATAGTATTTTCATATTTGTTTGCTACAAATTAGCCATTTGTAATCTACTGCTTATTCCTAAACTGTGTAAAGTAGTGTCAAGTATATAAAGTGCTGATGTTACAAATACAAACTAGGCCTACTCTACCGGGGCGATTGTAAATTGTAACAGTAAGTGGGGTGAGCTGTAACAATGATTGAAAACATGGACATACACTAATTTTTTTGTTAATTAATTTATAGTGGTAATCAGATTTATTTTCGAAAATAATTATTATGGCATCCCATATCACCACCCACCCCCATTTCATTGCATTTATGAAAATATATGTATATACAAATAATAAAAAATTAGAAACCGATAAAAATATATAAAACTCTAAAATCAAGACATCAAAATATATAAAACTCTAAAATCAAAATATACATATAAAAAAATCAAAATATATAAAACTCTAACTCTAACTCTAACTTGGCGTGCATGGATCAAAACCAATGATTGACTTTTTTCTTGATATTGGTTTTCAGGTGTTTTTGAATTCTCTGCCCTTTGCGTGGGGAACGTGATTTCACCATAAGTACATGTTCCTGGATCAACACCTTTGATGATCCTGGAACAACATTCCAATCAACCAATCAGATTTGAGGGTTCAAGTTTACAGTTTATGTCAAGTTAAGGCTTACAACCAGGGTGAGGTGCTTCTACATCAGGTTATTCATATCATTTCCCTCTGATTTTAGGGTAAGGACTACATTTTCAGACAGGACTGTTGTTCCATGACTTGGCAAAATCACAGTCATAAATATCGGGTGTGAGGAAAATGTTACTTGATATGATATTTATATAGTTTAAACATATGAAAATCTTGTGTGGATGCTAGAGAATTTGCTGATTTCTGATGATTCCAGGTCTATAGTTTAACAACCAATAACATGATCACAAGTCAAAAACCTGATGTGAAATGTTCACTTTCTTTTTTGGTCCTATAAATCCTTAATATTGTTTCAAATTTGTACCTCTGGTAAAATAGTGATTTCATTCTTGAGGCTTATTTATAATTGGCTGAAATTGTCTCTCCTTATATTAATATAGAAAATATGTTTCAATATTGTGTTGTTATCATACACATAGTGCAAGAAAAAAATAAAACACCAATCTGACTAAAGGTGCAAACTCATGCAGTAAGGTAGGATATAGCAAGCCACATGTGAAAATTACATTTTATGAGCACTGTATTATAACATATGGTTTAGTGATGATAATAATAATACATTTCAAGCAATCAAGATTTATTTTTTTATTTCGAGAATGGAGTTGGTTTCATTTCTTAGTCTCTTGGGGTTTGCGTACGACAGTTAAGTAGCTCTTTAATGCTTATGTTGGTTATAGAAAGTCGATTTGCTGCTTGCTTGACTTGTGAAGTTAAAGACTATACCAGAGCCTTTCCAGTTTAATGTGTGAAACATCCAAAATGGTAACTCTGAAAAGTATTTTAATAAATTATATCCCAAGAATCCCTGCCATAAGCTGTCTTTTTTTTTTTTTGTTCACCAGCTTGATTCTTATCCCTTCTTAAAATGTGAACCAATGTGCTGTAGCTCATCTCTGAGTCTGAGTGCTTTCAGTGAAGAACAGACAGTGCTTAGATGAATATTTTTGCATGGAGTTACTCACTCAGCTGATTTATCAGTTTGATGGAATGATTTCCTTATAAGACTTGATAAGAAGTGATAGATAAACTGTGGCTGAAGGGTCACATTCATGCAGGGATGTTCAAGACTGAGTCAGTGCTCTCTGATGAGCTTTTTGTCCGCTGTCTTGCTACACAGAACAATGAGAAAAGGCCATCAGGGGTTAGTAAGAGAAATCATCAGATTACTGATCACCAAGGAATATGTAATGGCTTGATCTCCAAAGGGAATTGCATAGAAGACTGACTTCAGATGCCAGTTTTTTAATGACCGAACCACAATATGTATTATTTTGCTATAGGTCAGTGTTTCACAATATATATATTTATATAAAAGTCTGGTACTTTATCTGTAATAATGACAAAGCTGCTTGTTTTCAAACTTTTTTTTAGTTACGATAACCTGCAGTGTCAGCAGAAATTATGAATTCATTATTCATTCTGTCATTCCATTCCTATATGGAAGCTTATTTCCACCACAAAAGAAAAACGAAATTTTGGCATACAATATCATTGAAAAAGAAATCACAATTATGACATAACAGTTAATAAAAAGCTCATAATTTTGACATGCTAATTCTAAATTATGATAGTCATAATTATGAGAGAGTTGAAATTATCACAAATCGAAACAGATAAAAAATAATTATGAAAATCTATTTTATGACAAAGTTTTTTTTTTTTTTACTTTGGATCTCATAATTTGACTAACATTACTTGTATGTCATAATTTTGACTTTTTATGTGAATTTTATCTCATAATTCTGATTATTTATTTATTTATTGGAATATTGATTGACTGATTGGTTGGTTTATTGATTGATTGATTGATTGATTGATTGTTTAATTGATTGATTGATCTATCAGAAATGGGCTCCAGAAGTTTCTATGTGTTCAAGGATTACTGAATTTTTTTAAATAATTTTTTTACTCACAAAAAACAATGGAAATTGGATTAACTAGAGAAATGTTTATTCATTATGTGACTTTTAAATGAATATTTTGTGTATTTTATCCACTTATATTTTGGTTATATTTGGTGTATTGGTTCTCCAAAAGCCATGCGAACCCTGGTTCTTAAAAAAAAAAAAGACAATTGTTTCCGAGCGGTTATCTAAAATAAGAATAATGTTAGTTTACAACTTTTTAAAAGCTTTTCCCCCCTTATTTTTAATCATTTTAAGCCACGTTGTGGCCCCCTTTGTTGAGCACCACTCCCATAAAGGGACGGATTTAACGGCATTGTGGGAATTATTAATCTGAGTGGTTCATCTTTTTTATTGCTAGATGAGAAGAGAGGGGTCAAGAAGTCAAGAGAGTTAGTTGTCAGAATCAATCCTGCATCTCCCACATGAGCACCATGACTTAATGGACATAATGTGTCACTTAGCGCTACACAGGTCCGTAAAGCTCACCACGTTGTCATTGCTCATATATTTCATCCGTAGCGTTAAAGCGCACTTGATATTTGCAGTCCCTTTCACTTCTCCACGAATTTCGCACATCACAGATCAAAACACTCCTGCATGGTGTCTTAATAGCTATATAAAACTTGAGGTCTCCAATTACATCTGTGACCAGACATTTAGGTCAGGGCTTCACAGCACCTCGTTGTTCCTCTACCGTCATATTCCCATTAGAGCAGGTTCTTTCCCACCAGTTAACAATTCACAAAAAAAGACATTTGTAGCTGGCTTTCTGTGAATGTGCCATACAAATTGGGCCTAAGGGACTAAAAAAGCCCCCGAAACATCTTGTGGCTCAGTTGCCCCAGGGCCCAGCTAAACGTGCGGATAGATCCTGTGTCAGCTGAGCGTTTAAGGTAGTGTGTGTCGGCAGCTGAAGTGCAGCGTTAGCGCATCACAGCGTTTTGACGTGAGGTGTGACGGGGAGAATGCTTTATGCTCTCTCCTCGCCATGGAGGGTTAGCTTATCCTAGCAGAATGGGCTCTAAGCCGCTGA